TTCAAGGGTGGTTTCACTATAAGTAATGCTTTATGGACACTATAATTAACATTTTTTTACTATGTTCAATCTGAATTTACTTTCAAATAAAAAAATTCTATATTGATTCTGACTCTTCTACGTCCAACTCACAGGTTTATCATTGCTTTGAGAAAAAAGATTATTAATTTTCCCCTTTTAGAAGATATGGTCCTTTGTTCTGAGAATGTCATTTTCGAGCCTGAGACCTGGAACACAGGCTCAGGGCTAAACAGGTTAAACATCTTATGTTTATATTAATATCTTTATTTGATCCTTTTATTGGATGTCTGCACCCTCTTACTCTCGCCGTGCACCCTCAAACCAAAATGCAGGTTTTCCCTGTAAAATGTTAAAGTGATGCCAGAAAACAATATTCCTGCTCGTCAGAAACTGAATAATGACGTCAGGCGGCAGAGACAGCTTAATTACGGGATGGATGTCCGGTGGGTCTGACACTGAAACTGAGATTTTTGTTTCTTTTCCTTTTCTCTGTAGAGGAAGTAAAGAAACCTCTGGATTTATTTGTTGTTTGAGGAGCAACATATGACTCAGCAGTAGGGATGGGTTTCGTTTTTTTTATCGGTACCGGTATTTTTCGATACTCTTATCGATACTTTTCAAAAGTGGATAATATCGTCTGTTAGCTGAGTTTCTTCCCGTTAAGTGGGTATGACATATGAATAGGTTGTTCAATGTTAAGAAGCCTTGAGACGCTGTTTCTTGCAAGATGTTGCGTCTGCCCCCGGGAGTCTCACAACAACAAGAGCGCTGTTAGGAGAGATGACGAGTGGCATTCACAGTGGCCAATCAGAGGGGTACTCAAACCGGATATGTCACACAGGATGAGGGTTCCCAACCAACCAGAATTGTTTCATCTAAGGAAGTAGCGTAATTCATATACCGATAGCAGCACCGTTTGTCCAGCGGCTTAACGGTATACCGATACCGTCCAATCGGCTACCGGTACTGACTTAGTACCGGTTCTCGATACCCATCCCTACTCAGCAGCTTTAAGACATGAAGACACTTTTATTCACTTCACTTCATTTAACATATTCCCATTGAATCTCAGCTCTGACTCTAATTTACTCTAAATCAGTTGTTTTTGGACATTTTTCTGAATTTCCTTCCTGTGTATTTTGATGTTCTTTCAGAGGTAGATTGTAAGGAGCCAGTTGTTGAGTTCGGTCATTGGGATTCGGGGTCGCGGGGCCCCTACACTTACAAGGCTACCGTCACGTTCAAGTGCAACGAGGGGTACAGGATGACAAATTCTGCCACCATAATCTGTGGGATCAACGAACTGTGGGAGCCTGCACTCCCAAAATGTGAAGGTGAGTCTCAAAGAAAATCCTATTTAGATAAACCTGGGGAGTTTCAATTAGGGCTGCGCTATAGAGCGGTGCAGGGAGGACGTATTTACCCTGAAGGAAGCTGCTGGTTCCCTCCACAAAAAGCAATAGGATTCCTCCAGAGGATTTAGGAAAATAGCTAGAAATAAGGTCTGTGGAAAACGACCCTGTTTGATAAATGCACGTTTTGTTCAGCCGGATAATCTCCACATGTCTTCCCTACTTTTATAATGTTGGAATCATAAATCTAATGTCCAGAAGCAAAATGCTAACGTTATGCTATAAAGGAAGTACCTCAGCACCAAATCCCTCCATAACCCACCCCTTACCCACATCGATTCCTGTCTGACAGCTATTAAAACTTGGATGCAACATAACCTCCTCAAACTGAACAGCAACAAAACAGAACTCCTCCTAATCGGCTCCAAATCCACCCTCAGCAAGGTCACTAACATACTCTCACCATCGACGGCACCATTGTTTCCCCATCCAATCAGGCACGCCACCTTGGCGTAATCTTTGACCCCACCCTCTCCCTCGAACCTCACATCCGCCAAACAGTCAAAACCTCATTTTTTCCACCATCTGCAATATTGCAAAATCCTACCCTCTCTCACCCGCCCCGCAGCCGAACGACTAATCCATGCCTTCATTTCCTCCCGCCTCGACTACTGCAACTCACTTCTTTACGGCATCAGCACTACATCCCTCAACAGACTCCAACGGGTTCAAAATGCAGCTGCACGTCTCCTCTCGCATACCAAACCATGGCATCACATCACCCCAGTCCTCAAAGACCTCCACTGGCTTCCTGTCTCCCATCGCATCAACTACAAAGTTCTGGTCCTCACCTACAAAGCACTCTACCATCTGGCCCCCCCCTTATCTCACAAACCTTCTCACTGCTTATCAACCCCCACGGTCCCTCAGATCCACCGCAGCCGGACTCCTATCCATTCCCACATCCACACTCTGCAGCTTTGGGGACAGAGCCTTCTCAGTGGCAGCTCCTAGGCTCTGGAATCCCTTCCCCCAAGATCTCCTTGACTCTGAGTCCCTCACAGTCTTTCAGTCCCGCCTCAAAACACATCTTTTCAACTCTGTCTACCCATAAGCCCCCCCCTCTCAATCAACTTCCCCTTGACTGCCTTTTTATTTTATTTTTATTTTATTTTTATTTTACTATACTTACTTGTTTGCCTGTCCTTGTCTGTCTACCCTCCCTCATACTGTAAAGCGTCTTTGAGTTGTGAAAAGCGCTATATAAATAAAATGCATTATTATTATTATTATTATTACAGCAGCACGACTTCAACGTCACGCCAACTTCAGATCCATATTCAAACACACAGATTCTAAATGGAACGAGTTGAAGCGTTTGTTTGAACAGTCTGCAGGAGGCAGGGACTTGCTTTCAAGCAGAACAGAAACTAACTTAGAGGAGTGTTTACGTGTTCGGCGTAATGACGTACAACGGCCTCCACGACTTCTGTAGTCCTGTTCAGCCACTTGGTAACAACCATCGCTTTTCAGAGACGTCAACTCTTCAGAAATCACCAGAGGGGTCACTGCTGATGGATTTAATGTCCTAGAACGAAACGTGATCCGTCTCTTCAATGCGTCTCAACCACAGACCTTAGTTCAGATAGTTTCCTAAACCCTATGGAGAGATCCCATTGGCTCTGAGACCAGGGAACAGGAAGTGGAGAAATGCTGACTCACTTCCTGGTTTTAGGACTCATTCCTGCACCGCTCTATTAAGTTGAAATTAATTCTAAATGTGAACGTAAGTCTCAATGAAAATACCCAGAAATGTTAAAGGTCCCATATCATGGCCATTTCTACTGATCATATTTCCATTGTTGAGGTCTGCTAGAATAGATTTAATTTGTGCAATTTTCCAAAATCACATTGGTTTCTCAAACAGCATCTCTGTATAGTCTGTGTATTCACCAGGGGCCTCATTTATTAAGCCTTGCGTAGGATTGGCGTGGGAAGGTTGCTTACGTAGGACAAAGCAAATAAATACGCACCAACACTTTCCGATTCATAAAAGACTGCGTACCGGCACAGGACTTGCGTACGGCACCTCCTACACCGGTTTCCCTTTAAATGCGGCGCAGCTTTTGCGGGCTTCACGTAACGCCCATATTTGCCTATGAATAGTCAAAGAAACGCCCATTCATTCATTCATTCATTCATTCTGACTGACTGCATGAAGGAGATCGCAGGAAATGACGACAGAACAGCTAAAAAAGACATCTCACACCGTGTCAGATTCTGGTTATTTTGGGGAGGTGGAGATAAATCATATTGTTTGGTGGATGCAGTTTGAACCAGAGTAGCAGCATGGAGGTCGGATCGTCACCAACATAAATAAATAAGTGGTCCGAAAAAGGTTAATGACAAAAAGAATACACATAGCCTTCCTCAGGCAGTGTGTTGGTACCGGGGACAGGAGACCCCGCCTTGATGAGAGACTGTAAGAAGTGATCGGGAATCCCTCCGGAGTGGAGTCATGACGACTGGATCTGAATTATGTTTTTGTATTTGGTGGTTTGTGTTCCAGCTGTCGATCAGCTGTGCGCAGCGTCTCCACTGCAGCAACCCTATATCCACCAGTTAAAGGAAATACAACTAATGTGTTGTGTTATATTAGCTGTTAAATGTACCACATATGGTGTTCTTAGTTTCCATACCTCCTGTGTTTTACGAGCGACTTATCAAGTCTTGGCAAACGGCATAAAACATGATTAAACGTGATAGTATATAAAACCATGCTTGTATCTACAACCTATAGAAATGCAACACGGCGTCAGTTTAGACGTAATTCTGTCCTCCTGCTTATCATCATTTATGAGAACACATTTCATAACAAGAGAACATCATCGAGGGGTGATCAATAACATATCCGTATTTATTTATTTCTCCAGGTTATGTGTTTGTGTGCACTGAGGAGTCTCAAACAGGCGTTTGTTTCATCATTTTAAGATTGGCTTTAATCAATTTGTGAAAATGAATTCTTCATATATGATAAATGAGAGGTAACATTTTATTGATTGTTTGGTTCGGATCCTCTTCTATACATATATATTATATTGCAATATAAATCAAAAATAATCCCCAACAGTTCATTTCCTCCATGTCGTGCAGCCTTAGTCTGAACATGAGTCCACCTTTAGTCCAGAAGCACGCTCTGTGGTTTCCTGTTCAGATACATGGAGCTTTGGGGATTTTCTTTATTTCCTCTGTGGTTCCTCACAATCAGGAAGATGCCCCACTTTTTAAGAGACTAGTTTTGCCCTTAATCCAAATTATTTAGAGAAGGTGTTGGTATTTAATTTATATTTCAAAGGTTCATTATTACAGTTTTATTTTGTGTTTTATATGAAGCACAACGTACCATGCTGTTATAATAACATTCTTTATCAGCCTTTGAAACTGAAACCATTTTGGGAGGACAAAAAAAACATATTAATAATCATAATGTTTCATAAACGTGAGACGATTAGTCGACTAAATGCCCGAATTGACGACAATCGGGCGACTAGAGAAATGTTGAGTCGAGGGCAACCCTGATTATTTGTGATATTTGCACTAATTATTATAATGTATTATATTTTGCAGCGGTACCAGCAGATACAACCACCACCACTAAAAGTCCTGAATCCACCACGAAGCCCACAGGTAGAGGCCATTTCAATATCTGTCTCGTTAGGGTGATCAATGATTATTCTGGGATGTTTGATCTGTTTACTGCTCAATGGTTGGATTGGAGTTGAGCTTTCAACGTGGATTTTCTGCTAATATTGCACGCAACGAGGGCTGTCTTATAGCATGTTTAAATATGCAAATTATCCATATCTCATTAAATATGCACATATTTTAACACATTTCAGGAATCGAAATCTGAACTTTGGATAAAGCCAGGTTCAAAATGCTCGTTTCATTTTGTAGTCATATTAGTATCTAAGGCTTTTTCAGAAGGGATATTGGATATCTCTTTTTATCACTCCATAAATCAGAAAATACTGTCCACAGCCCAAAAATATCCATTTTCGCCATGTTTTTAGGTATACAATGTTGTATAATTCAGGCTATGAATGATATATGAACAAACCCTTCTGTAAAAGCCTTCATAATATTGATAGGAATATAACTGGAAGGTTTAGTGTATGTACGTGCTACTGAAGTTGAAATTTCGAACTCAGAGTAGGAGAAAAAAACTCATTTTGAGAAAACGACCTTTAAAGATTGCAGTGAGGCGCTAGCTAAACCCTCCTGTTCTTTGGATGACAGCTTGCGCCTCGACGCACTCTGTGAAGGTATTTCATGTTCGGGGTCATTTGTTTTTTGTATAACCTTGCTTCGTGCAAGTGACAATTGTTGTTGTCTTCTCTGTGAACGTTTTTTTCGCCGTTCTTTTGCCATTTTGAGATTTCAATTTCTAGCGGAAAGCTAACCAGGAAGTGTTTTAGCACACCACGTGACGCATCTGAACGAATCACGTTGTCAGAAATTGACACCAGCCAATGAGATTTCGTTTCTTGGTTTAAGACCCCTTTGTGCTTTCACGATTGGTTGCTGATACAAAGGAAATGACCATATTTGGATCCGATGCGATTGTGCAGGAGAGACACAGCTTTCCAGCGATACCTCTGTTGACATGGTGCACACAGCGGTCGCAGTACTTTATGTTACGTTAGAATGCTAACTTTTGGTGAATTTAGGAGAAATCTACAGACGCAAATAGAGAAACTATAGTAAAATAAACACTTAAATGTGTATTTTGTACGTTTTCCTTCCAAAAGCCTGAAAGAAAACATGTTGTGGAATCAAAATAGCACAAAATCTCAAAATTGACCAGTACTTGAAAAACGATGTTTTTGCCTGCCGTGTCTCGCCTTAAACCCAAATACCTGTACTTTCTACTTCTTACATGTTGAACTCAAATACCTGTACTTTCTACTTCTTACATGTTGAACCCAAATACCTGTACTTCTACTTCTTACATGTTGAACTCAAATACCTGTACTTTCTACTTCTTACATGTTGAACTCAAATACCTGTACTTTCTACTTCTTACATGTTGAACTCAAATACCTGTACTTTCTACTTCTTACATGTTGAACCCAAATACCTGTACTTTCTACTTCTTACATGTTGAACTCAAATACCTTTACTTTCTACTTCTTACATGTTGAACTCAAATACCTGTACTTTCTACTTCTTACATGTTGAACTCAAATACCTGTACTTTCTACTTCTCACATGTTGAACACAAATACCTGTACTTTCTACTTCTTACATGTTGAACCCAAATACCTGTACTTTCTACTTCTTACATGTTGAACTCAAATACCTGTACTTTCTACTTCTTACATGTTGAACCCAAATACCTGTACTTTCTACTTCTTACATGTTGAACTCAAATACCTGTACTTTCTACTTCTTACATGTTGAACTCAAATACCTGTACTTTCTACTTCTTACATGTTGAACTCAAATACCTTGTACTTTCTACTTCTCTCATTTCCCAAACAGCTGGTTCCTTTAGTCTGAATGTGTGTTTGATGCGTGATCATTATTCTTTAGAGTCATTGCGTGCCTATTGATTTGAACACGATCCGTGTATCCATCATTTCCTGGTCTTCTCTAAAGAAGAGGGACCAATGGAAACGTTGTCATGTTGCCGTTGTTCAGCATGGAAACATTCATTAGCTAACAATGACATTATTGTTCTATTAATATAAAGGGAGGTCAGGTACTCTTTAAAACAGCTGCTAGTTATGGGTACTTTCTACTGAAGTACATTTCAAAGCCTCTTTACTTTCACTTGAGTAAAGAAGTTTAGTCAGTACTTCTACTTTCACCAGAATATCTTTAAACACGAGTATCTGTACTTCTACTTGAGTTAAGGATACTTTTACCATCCCTGTAAATGACTACTAACATCAGGTCCCAGATCTCAGAGGCTGGCGCAAAATGATATCTGAGTTGGTTCCCCTGGATAATATACTAATGTTTCTAGCGTATTTGCATCTGCTATGTGATTACTGAGTTTGTAACATAGAAACTCTCCGTCTCTTCCCATGTATTGAATGTTTCAGTGATGTACTGTCATCCTCCGAAGACTCCGACCATCGGCAGCTTCTATCCGGTCAAAGATGCGTATGAATACAGAGAGGTGATCCTGTTCTCCTGTCCTGAACCTTTCACCCTGAACGGATCGAAGTCTCTGTCCTGCTCATTTAAAAACCTATTCATGTGTCATACCCACTTAACGGTTAGAAACTCAGCTAACTGACGATATGAACCATTTTTACCTAAACAAAACACAATTTTCACTAGAAGCGTCTAAATGAGCGCTGAGCGAAAAAATGCTAACACGCTTAGCACAGAACTCACGGTAGAAATACTTTATTACTAATCGGATCTGCACAAGCAAGATATCAGATTCCACTGATTCTATAGGTATTAGTATCATCACTGAGCGACAGGGGAAGCAAACACAGACATCACAACACGTAGCTTAACGGAGCTAAAAACGGGAAATAGTCTTACCTTTGCTGTTATTCTGATCAAAAGTCGTGTTCAATGGCATTAAAACGATAAAAACGCTGAAGGTTAATCCATAGTGTAAGGGAAACTTCTGCAGCAATGGAGAGTCAGGACTCAGAGAGACACGAGGAGAGTTGGAGCTTTGATGTCAAACACTGGTGTTTTATTACAAGTATCGGCCGGAGAATTTCACATCACAAGTCACAGCAGCCAGAGGTTCTGACTGCCCGGAGAGTTGCCACATCAATTCTGCCCAGTCTCTCTCTCGATAGACCTTTTAACTAGTTTACAGAGAGTTAATCAACAGCTGGGAACACTGGAGATATCCCCAACATCTGGAGACACTCAATCACTTGTCTGACTCTTAGGCTCTGTGTCCGAGAGTTGACTAGTCATAGACTGAGAAATATCAACATATGACTGCATTAGCACATTCCTTACGGGAGATAACAGAGTCAGGGTTGGTCGTAAACGTCAACACACAGAAAGGTTAAATATCTTAGGAGTAAGGAAGAATTATTCCCTAACACATAGGTTAATCCAATGTGTCTGTCACTTTGGATGATTACTGATAATCCATCATCATATTTATGGCAAAAACTGAGTTTTCATATATAGCTGCATGAGTGTATGACAGCTTCCGGTTTGGGGCATTCTGGCTATGCATCACTCATTCACCAATGGGTAATGTTTAGATGGATTTGAGGAACTTCCCCTTCATTTCTATTGGCTCTAACGGTTAAAAAGAGATGTCAATCGACCGTCAAATCCACCGTGGTGTTTTTTTTTTCTTCTAAATCTCTCTAAAAAGGTCAAATGTCACTTGTTTTGAATCAATCTTGATACAGGGTACTTATTATATGTTATAGTTTGGATTCCTAAAGCTTTTAGTCTACCTTACCATCATTCAAGGGTGGTTTCACTATAAGTAATGCTTTATGGACACTATAATTAAAAATGTTTTACTATGTTCAATCTGAATTTACTTTCAAATAAAAAAATTCTATATTGATTCTGACTCTTCTACGTCCAACTCACAGGTTTATCATTGCTTTGAGAAAAAAGATTATTAATTTTCCCCTTTTAGAAGATATGGTCCTTTGTTCTGAGAATGTCATTTTCGAGCCTGAGACCTGGAACACAGGCTCAGGGCTAAACAGGTTAAACATCTTATGTTTATATTAATATCTTTATTTGATCCTTTTATTGGATGTCTGCACCCTCTTACTCTCGCCGTGCACCCTCAAACCAAAATGCAGGTTTTCCCTGTAAAATGTTAAAGTGATGCCAGAAAACAATATTCCTGCTCGTCAGAAACTGAATAATGACGTCAGGCGGCAGAGACAGCTTAATTACGGGATGGATGTCCGGTGGGTCTGACACTGAAACTGAGATTTTTGTTTCTTTTCCTTTTCTCTGTAGAGGAAGTAAAGAAACCTCTGGATTTATTTGTTGTTTGAGGAGCAACATATGACTCAGCAGTAGGGATGGGTTTCGTTTTTTTTATCGGTACCGGTATTTTTCGATACTCTTATCGATACTTTTCAAAAGTGGATAATATCGTCTGTTAGCTGAGTTTCTTCCCGTTAAGTGGGTATGACATATGAATAGGTTGTTCAATGTTAAGAAGCCTTGAGACGCTGTTTCTTGCAAGATGTTGCGTCTGCCCCCGGGAGTCTCACAACAACAAGAGCGCTGTTAGGAGAGATGACGAGTGGCATTCACAGTGGCCAATCAGAGGGGTACTCAAACCGGATATGTCACACAGGATGAGGGTTCCCAACCAACCAGAATTGTTTCATCTAAGGAAGTAGCGTAATTCATATACCGATAGCAGCACCGTTTGTCCAGCGGCTTAACGGTATACCGATACCGTCCAATCGGCTACCGGTACTGACTTAGTACCGGTTCTCGATACCCATCCCTACTCAGCAGCTTTAAGACATGAAGACACTTTTATTCACTTCACTTCATTTAACATGTTCCCATTGCATCTCAGCTCTGACTCTAATTTACTCTAAATCAGTTGTTTTTGGACATTTTTCTGAATTTCCTTCCTGTGTATTTTGATGTTCTTTCAGAGGTAGATTGTAAGGAGCCAGTTGTTGGGTTCGGTCATTGGGATTCGGGGTCGCGGGGCCCCTACACTTACAAGGCTACCGTCACGTTCAAGTGCAACGAGGGGTACAGGATGACAAATTCTGCCACCATAATCTGTGGGATCAACGAACTGTGGGAGCCTGCACTCCCAAAATGTGAAGGTGAGTCTCAAAGAAAATCCTATTTAGATAAACCTGGGGAGTTTCAATTAGGGCTGCGCTATAGAGCGGTGCAGGGAGGACGTATTTACCCTGAAGGAAGCTGCTGGTTCCCTCCACAAAAAGCAATAGGATTTCTCCATAGGATTTAGGAAAATAGCTGGAAATAAGGTCTGTGGAAAACGACCCTGTTTGATAAATGCACGTTTTGTTCAGCCGGATAATCTCCACATGTCTTCCCTACTTTTATAATGTTGGAATCATAAATCTAATGTCCAGAAGCAAAATGCTAACGTTATGCTATAAAGGAAGTACCTCAGCACCAAATCCCTCCATAACCCACCCCTTACCCACATCGATTCCTGTCTGACAGCTATTAAAACTTGGATGCAACATAACCTCCTCAAACTGAACAGCAACAAAACAGAACTCCTCCTAATCGGCTCCAAATCCACCCTCAGCAAGGTCACTAACATACTCTCACCATCGACGGCACCATTGTTTCCCCATCCAATCAGGCACGCCACCTTGGCGTAATCTTTGACCCCACCCTCTCCCTCGAACCTCACATCCGCCAAACAGTCAAAACCTCATTTTTCCACCTCTGCAATATTGCAAAAATCCTACCCTCTCTCACCCGCCCCGCAGCCGAACGACTAATCCATGCCTTCATTTCCTCCCGCCTCGACTACTGCAACTCACTTCTTTACGGCATCAGCACTACATCCCTCAACAGACTCCAACGGGTTCAAAATGCAGCTGCACGTCTCCTCTCGCATACCAAACCATGGCATCACATCACCCCAGTCCTCAAAGACCTCCACTGGCTTCCTGTCTCCCATCGCATCAACTACAAAGTTCTGGTCCTCACCTACAAAGCACTCTACCATCTGGCCCCCCCTTATCTCACAAACCTTCTCACTGCTTATCAACCCCCACGGTCCCTCAGATCCACCGCAGCCGGACTCCTATCCATTCCCACATCCACACTCTGCAGCTTTGGGGACAGAGCCTTCTCAGTGGCAGCTCCTAGGCTCTGGAATCCCTTCCCCCAAGATCTCCTTGACTCTGAGTCCCTCACAGTCTTTCAGTCCCGCCTCAAAACACATCTTTTCAACTCTGTCTACCCATAAGCCCCCCCCTCTCAATCAACTTCCCCTTGACTGCCTTTTTATTTTATTTTTATTTTATTTTTTATTTTACTATACTTACTTGTTTGCCTGTCCTTGTCTGTCTACCCTCCCTCATACTGTAAAGCGTCTTTGAGTTGTGAAAAGCGCTATATAAATAAAATGCATTATTATTATTATTATTATTACAGCAGCACGACTTCAACGTCACGCCAACTTCAGATCCATATTCAAACACACAGATTCTAAATGGAACGAGTTGAAGCGTTTGTTTGAACAGTCTGCAGGAGGCAGGGACTTGCTTTCAAGCAGAACAGAAACTAACTTAGAGGAGTGTTTACGTGTTCGGCGTAATGACGTACAACGGCCTCCACGACTTCTGTAGTCCTGTTCAGCCACTTGGTAACAACCATCGCTTTTCAGAGACGTCAACTCTTCAGAAATCACCAGAGGGTCACTGCTGATGGATTTAATGTCCTAGAACGAAACGTGATCCGTCTCTTCAATGCGTCTCAACCACAGACCTTAGTTCAGATAGTTTCCTAAACCCTATGGAGAGATCCCATTGGCTCTGAGACCAGGGAACAGGAAGTGGAGAAATGCTGACTCACTTCCTGGTTTTAGGACTCATTCCTGCACCGCTCTATTAAGTTGAAATTAATTCTAAATGTGAACGTAAGTCTCAATGAAAATACCCAGAAATGTTAAAGGTCCCATATCATGGCCATTTCTACTGATCATATTTCCATTGTTGAGGTCTGCTAGAATAGATTTAATTTGTGCAATTTTCCAAAATCATATTGGTTTCTCAAACAGCATCTCTGTATAGTCTGTGTATTCACCAGTGGCCTCATTTATTAAGCCTGGCGTAGGATTGGCGTGGGAAGGTTGCTTACGTAGGACAAAGCAAATAAATACGCACCAACACTTTCCGATTCATAAAAGACTGCGTACCGGCACAGGACTTGCGTACGGCACCTCCTACACCGGTTTCCCTTTAAATGCGGCGCAGCTTTTGCGGGCTTCACGTAACGCCCATATTTGCCTATGAATAGTCAAAGAAACGCCCATTCATTCATTCATTCATTCATTCTGACTGACTGCATGAAGGAGATCGCAGGAAATGACGACAGAAAAGCTAAAAAATACATCTCACACCGTGTCAGATTCTGGTTATTTTGGGGAGGTGGAGATAAATCATATTGTTTGGTGGATGCAGTTTGAACCAGAGTAGCAGCATGGAGGTCGGATCGTCACCAACATAAATAAATAAGTGGTCCGAAAAAGATTCATGACAAAAAGAATACACATAGCCTTCCTCAGGCAGTGTGTTTGTACCGGGGACAGGAGACCCCCCCCCCCCCCCACCCCCCTTGATGAGAGACTGTAAGAAGTGATCGGGAATCCCTCCGGAGTGGAGTCATGACGACTGGATCTGAATTATGTGTTTGTATTTGGTGGTTTGTGTTCCAGCTGTCGATCAGCTGTGCGCAGCGTCTCCACTGCAGCCTGTGCGTCTCAACCCCCCCCGCAGCAACCCTATATCCACCAGTTAAAGGAAATACAACTAATGTGTTGTGTTATATTAGCTGTTAAATGTACCACATATGGTGTTCTTAGTTTCCATACCTCCTGTGTTTTACGAGCGACTTATCAAGTCTTGGCAAACGGCATAAAACATGATTAAACGTGATAGTATATAAAACCATGCTCGTATCTACAACCTATAGAAATGCAACACGGCGTCAGTTTAGACGTAATTCTGTCCTCCTGCTTACCGCATCATTTATGAGAACACATTTCATAACAAGAGAACATCATCGAGGGGTGATCAATAACATATCCGTATTTATTTATTTCTCCAGGTTATGTGTTTGTGTGCACTGAGGAGTCTCAAACAGGCGTTTGTTTCATCATTTTAAGATTGGCTTTAATCAATTTGTGAAAATGAATTCTTCATATGTGATAAATGAGAGGTAACATGTTATTGATTGTTTGGTTCGGATCCTCTTCTATACATATTGGAGTTGAGCTTTCAAGGTGGATTTTCTGCTAATATTGCACATGTGAGTGAAGAAAAAAAAGTAGAACAAAAAAATATTTCCTTTTTTTTGGGGGGAAAAAAGTCAAACTTTTATTTTGAAGGCCCGATGTTCTAACGCTGTGCATGCAGTAGCATTGGAAGTACCGGAGACCATGAACGGTTTTGAAAACTTCTGTCACGTAGTGATCATCTTCTCAATAAAACATCTTTGCTGATGTTTCTTCGAGTCTTCTGGCCAATAAGAATCAAGAGTGTTGCCGGAAGTCCCCACGGAGAATAACTTTGCGGTAGAACTATTCTTTATACATCCACGGGTACAACTTTAGATACAAATGAACACATAATGAAATATGACCACCAGTTTGATGATTTACAGGTCACAGAACAATGGGGGCTATCTACCCTTACCCACAATTTAAAGTAAGTCACACAGACTCTCTCCTCTTTACTCTTCTCTCTGAGTGGAGCAGCAAGCTGTCAGAACAAAGTGAAAAACAAACAATGGCATAACATATTATAAATATGTCGGGTAGCAATAGATTTATTTATTTTCTTCTCAGAGTGTACCAGACTGGGTAGTTTACATGTTAGTATTTAAAAAAATCTCCTGGGGGAGAATCCCCCCCGACCCTTTTTATGTTAGTTCAGCTTTGATTCCATCATCTCATTAAACCTTATTTAAAAGCATACTTTAGTTCTGTGAAGGGATATAAGGGATATATGCACTGTACTTCACTTTAATTAATAATGTATGCTGAAAAGCGTATATATTACTGCACGATTTTTTGTTGAATAGATTTGAGTGGTTCAAAATTTCGGGTCGCGATCTATTGACCAAGTAAAAAGTGGGTCCCGAGAGAGTTGAGAACCACTGATATAGTGTTAGCTGTTGGCCATCAATCTTGTGTTTGTTTGTAAATACCATGTAGCATGACTTGCCTTCTGACATTTTGAATCCCCAGTTATATGACCACCTCTCCACTTTTTTAATCGCTCTAGCTTCTCCATTACGTATGGGGCATGTCTTCCCCTCATCCACATAGCCCCATCATCTGCGTGTAAAGCCCATTGGATGCATGTGTCTAAGCATGTCAACATGTCATTAATCAAGATGTTGAATAATATTGGACTGACTGCACTCCCTTGGGGGATACCATTTTCTATTTCTAAATAATTGGAAATATCTGCTCCAACCTTTACTCTAAATGTCCTGTCTGTTCAAAAGGCCCTTACCCAATTGAACATTCTCCCTCCAATACCCATTCTCCTCAAAGTGATCAGTAACCCCTCCCTCCACACAGAGTCATACGCCTTTTCAATGTCAAAGTACACTATTGCCATTATCTCTTTCATTTTCAATGTTTTCCCACGTCATTACTCACTCTTACTAATTCCACATCCAGAGGTGACCTATTATCCTGTCTCTTCTCCTTTTCATTCTCTGCTAGTAACTGCTGTTTTTGCTGCCTATGGATATCACTGAGATGCTCCCCACTATGTACTGCTGCAAGTGTCCTTCCTAACATACCTGCCTTCTCTTTATCTGTCACTGCCAGCCTCTCCCCATCAACCAAAGCTGGCATTTTAATGGATTTCCTTTTCCCACTCATCTGCTGAAACATGGACCAGACATCACCTAATGTTACTCCTCTGCCAATGGTAGAACACCATTCTCTCCATGTTCTCTCGTGTGTATTTTACTGTCCTTCGAGCAGCTGCCCTTTTCCTTTGATACTCTATAACATTATTTTGTGTCATGTTTCTTTAATTCTCTAAGTGCATGGTTTCGCTCTTTAGTAGCCCTGCTGCATTCCTCATTCCACCATGGCACCACTTTCTTCCTACCCTTGGTTGTTGTTTTGGGTATACTGTTCTCTGCTGCATTTAGTATATGTTGCGTTTTGTGGCTTGTAATGACCTCTATGCTTCCCTCTGATGTTAGCAGGTGTACCGACTCCTCACACCATATCCTACATTTCCCCCAATCAGCAAAGCACCACCTCACACAGAGCGAGGCGCGGCGCAGTTCCTCTGCACGGGCTGCGGAAGTGAAATGCTTGATGGGAAACGACTCGCTGGTATCTCGAGCTGAGCGCTCATTGGTGGTTTTTACCACGTGCTGGTGATGAAGCTCTCCCATTGGCTCGGCTAAAGTTTGTTGTCGTTTTGTGTCAGTTTTACCGCACTTCCATTCACATTTTTCATCATTGTTCCACAATGTTTATCATCATGAAATTAATATCTATATATTTTATACTAGACTTGCACTGCTTACCGTTTTCATACTTTATATATCTTAGCATATTCATACACACTGTTCATACTGCTCACAGGCTACTGTGTGTATCTAGTGTATTCATACCCCTCACTGTTTATTCATCATTCACTTTATTCTATATTTTATTCTGTAGATTGTGTACATTACTTTTCACTTTACTGCTTGTTGCACCTGGTTAGAAGCTAAACTGCATTTCGTTGTCTCAGTACCTGTAATATGTGCAATAACAAAAAAGTTGAATCTAATCTTGAGCAGGAACAAATGTATTTACTTAGTACATATCTGACATTAACGATTAAACACGTGTGCATTCTTTATAAATGCAAACCGAGTCAAGCCGACTCCGGAGGTGGCGGTATGCACCTTAAAGTTGTTTGCAATCCGTCAAAAAACCGGAAGAAGAAGAAGACGAAGACTTTTTGCAAAAACACTTTATTTACATATGATCAATTATACATTCGATCAATAAAGTGCTTCATTGTGCAATAAAATAAACGAATCACTGAATACATTAAAACCTATGTTTTAAAAACTTGTGCAAAGTGCAAATCCTCATCCACCACAGAACACACAATATATTCATAACACCAACGCTGTTTAAAAGCATCCAAGTCTCCAATATGTTTATAAAAACGATGCTCCAGCCAGAGTCTGGCTCTGATGTTGCACAGCCAGATCACTTTTGCCTCTTCCCCTTTCTTATTTTCAACCCTGTTTTTTCTACTTAAATAAATGGCCATTTTTGCTTCGCCAGAGAGGTAATTCAGGAGCTGCCACTTTTCCTTGTTCGTCTTTTTATACGGACCCATGATAAAAACACTCTGGGTAAAAGCTATACTAAAAGACTAGAAACCGATGTTAAAAGAGAGAAGAAACCTGTGTGTCTCTTGCACTCTGTGAGAACATGGAAAACAGTCTCTCTAAAACCACAAAATGGACACTTGTTAAAAACAGCAGGATTAATAATGGAGATAAAAGAATTACAGGCGATGGCAACGTGTAAAATTCTCCACTGGAGGTCGGCAGTACGTTTTTTAATGGGAGGTTTGTATAAAATCCTCCACTGTGGGCCTGGTCCGCTTCCTCTACCCAGTCTGGTGCTCCACACAGTGGAGGCCCTGTCCTTCAGTGCATTTTTGTTGGTCGTCTTTACAATGTTCATTACATTACATTACATTGCATTTAGCTGACGCTTTTATCCAAAGCGACTTACAATAAGTACATTCGACCAGGAAGACACAACCTTGAAGAAAACAGAATCATATAAGTACATCAGGTTTCATAGAGCCAAACATTTCAAGTGCTACTCAACTGGCTTTAGATAAGCCAGTCCTTTATTAGTATAAAAGTGCTTTGTTAATAGTTCTAACGCTCGAAGTGGAGTCGAAAGAGATGAGTTTTCAGTTTGCGCCGGAAGATGTGCAAGCTATCTGCCGTCCTGATGTCAATGGGGAGCTCATTCCACCATCTTGGAGCCAGGACAGCAAACCCACGTGTTTTCGCCGATGGGAACTTGGGTCCCCCTCGCAGCGAGGGCGCAACGACTCGTTTGGCTGATGCAGAGCGTAGTGCACACGCTGGGGTGTACAGTTTAACCATGTCCTGGATGTACGAAGGGCCAGATCCATTCGCAGCATGGTAAGCAAGTACCAGTGTCTTGAAGTGGATTCTAGCAGTTACCGGAAGCCAGTGAAGGGAGCGGAGGAGCGGAGTGGTGTGGGAGAATTTAGGAAGGTTGAAGACCAGACGAGCCGCTGCATTCTGGATGAGCTGCAGAGGTCGGATGGCACATGCAGGTAGACCAGCCAGGAGGGAGTTGCAGTAGTCTAGGCGTGAGATGACGAGAGCCTGGACCAGAACCTGAGTCGCTTTCTGAGTCAGCTGGGGATGTATCTTCCTGATATTGTAAAGCATGTATCTGCAGCAACGGGTTGTAGCAGCGATGTTTGCAGTGAAGGACAGGTTGTTATCTAGGGTCACACCCAGATTCCTTGCAGTCTGAGTCGGGGAAACAACTGAGGTGCCGATGTTGATTGTTAGGTCAAGAGTGGGACAATCTTTTCCCGGGAGGAAGAGCAGCTCAGTCTTGTCAAGGTTGAGCTTGAGGTGGTGAGCAGACATCCACTGAGAGATGTCAGCTAGACAAGCAGAGATGCGTGCAACGACCTGGGTCTCTGAGCGGGGAAAGGACAGAATTAATTGGGTGTCATCAGCGTAGCAGTGGTATGAAAAACCATGCGGGCTAATGACTGATCCGAGCGAGTTTGTGTACAGGGAGAAGAGGAGGGGACCAAGAACAGAGCCCTGAGGGACCCCCGTAGTTAATTGACAAGGGTCGGACTCAGACCCTCTCCAAGTCACCCTGTAGGTACGGTCTTTCAGGTATGAGGTGAGGAGGGAAAGTGCAGAGCCTGAAACTCCAAGTTTTTGGAGAGTGCGAAGGAGGATCTGATGATTCACCGTGTCGAATGCAGCAGACAGGTCCAACAGGATGATGACAGAGGAGAGGGATGCAGTTTGGCAGTGTGCAGTTCCTCCGTGACAGCAATGAGAGCAGTTTCTGTGGAGTGACCTGCCTTGAAACCAGACTGGTGCGGATCCAGAAGGTTGTTCTGATTGAGATAACAGGAGAGTTGTTTAAAGACAGCGCGTTCAAGTGATTTAGACAGGAACGGGAGGAGAGAGGACAGGCCTGTAGTTTATAACATCAGACGGGTTGAGAGTGGGTTTCTTTAGGAGAGGGTTTACTCTTGCCTCCTTGAGACTGTTTGGAAAGTGACCAGAAGTTAGAGAAGTGTTGATGAAATGGGTGAGAAACGGTAGAATATCAGGAGCGATAGTCTGAAGGAGGTTTGAAGGGATAGGGTCCAGAGGACAGGTGGTAGGGCGGGCAGAGGTAATGAGGGTAAGAACCTCACTTGGAGAGAGAGGGGAAAAGGAGGTAAGTGTGTTGGTGGAAGGACGGGTCTGGTGACCCAGCGGTGAGTAAAGGTGAGTCAGAAAAAGAAGAGTGAATATCATTAACCTTTTTTTCAAAGTGGGTAACAAAGTCGCTTGACAGAAGTGAGGAGGGGGGAGGAGCTTTTGGAGGGTCCAAGAGGGTGGAGAAGATGGAAAATAGTTTTTTAGGATTGGAATAGGAAGATTGGATCTTATCATATATATTGTTTTCTTGTCAACTGTGTGGATGGTCATTTGTCCTTGGTTTGCGACCTTGAGCAGGGGGCCGGTCAGCTCTCCGAGCCCTGGGCTCAGGTAGATCTCCGGGAAAGGGTCTGTTGGGTCCGGCTTGGCTCTTCCCTGTCCGTAGCTCCTTAAAAGTATTTTGTCATCAGGGAAGAGGATCTGGCTCCAGAGTTGCAGGATCCTCTCGGCCACCCGGACAGAGTGCAGACCCAGCAGAGAGCCCAAGGCCCGGGCATCGCTCAGCTCCGGCCCCACTGCATCCACCAGCTGCTGAAGGCACAGGGTCTTGGATCGGCACAGCGCCACCGTCAGGCCGGGTGTTTCGCTGCTGCTGACGTCCAACCTGGCTTTGTGAATCAGAGGCTCCTTCAACAACCAGTACAGAGAGTCAGTCTTTGGACACCTTTTATGGTTAAAAAGGGCCCAAGATTTAAAAACACCCTGATAAAAAGGAGGTAGCCCACTTAACTTTAAAATGTTTAAATCAGTTAAAAACAGAGCAGCATCCAGCCCCAGGTTACTCACGCGACGGAGAATGCAGCTGCTCACATCTCTCCACACCAAATCAGCCGGGCCGATCAGATACCTCTGTAAAAACTGTATCCTAAAAGTGGCTGTTCGGCTGGCCAGGTGGATAAGGCCCTGTCCCCCCTCCTCTCTCGATAAAAACAGCACCCCCTGTGGCACCCAGTGTAGACCCTCCCAAAATAAATCCACCAACTTATTTTGTATTTGGGCTAGTAAGCCTGAGGGAGGGTCCACACAGGTAAGACGGTGCCACAGTTGGGATGCCACAAGGTTGTTTAAAACCAACACTCTACCTTTAAAAGACATCTGAGGGAGCAGCCACCTCCACTTGGACAGCTTTCCCTCTATCTTTCCTATGACGTCCTCTCAGTTCTTCAGGACTATGCTTTTATTACCTAGGAACACACCCAGGTACTTTAGCCCATCTTTCTTCCATATCATGTTCTGGGGAAGAACTGGGAGACCGCCACTCCACTCACCGACCGCGAGGCCCTCACTTTTCCTCCAATTCACCCTCGCTGCCGATGCTGAACTAAAATCCCTCACGATGTTAACTAAAATGTCTGTATCTTTTTGGTCTCTAATAAAAACAATGATATCATCCGCATATGCTGATAAAACCATGCCTCCACTAAAACCAGGTAAAAACAGCCCTTGCAGTTTGGAGCGTATTTTGTTTAGGAGGGGTTCTAGGGAGAGTGCATAGAGCATGCCAGACAGAGCACAGCCCTGTCGGACCCCTCTACACACTCTAAACGGAGCACACAGCCCACCGTTGCACTTCAGCACACTCTCAATCGTATTATACAACACCTTGATCTTGGCTATGAAACCAGCGCTGAACCCAAACTTCTCCATTACTTCCCAGAGGAAGCTGCTCAACGCGCTCGAAAGCCTTTTCCTGATCTAGAGAAATCAGACCAGTATTAATGCCCAATGAGCTGGAGACCTCCAAAACATCTCGAATTAGGTGGATATTGTCCACCATGGACCTGCCGGGCACACAGTAGGTCTGGTCCCGGTGGATGACCTGCTCCACAGCCCTCCCCAGCCTGGTGGCCAAAGCCTTGGACAGAAGTTTGTAATCCACACACAGCAGAGAGACACAGGGCGCCAGTTTTTGATGTCCTGCAGGTTTCCTTTTTTTGGTAGCAGCGTGATCACCGCTCTCCTGCAGGACATCGGCATCAAGCCAGAGGCCAGACTTTCATTAAAAACGTCTAAAAGGTCATGTGACAAGACGTCCCAGTAGGCTTATAAAACTCTACGGAGAGGCCATCGATAC